GCACAAGGATGGACAGAGCCGCACCTGTGCACAAGGATGGACAGGGCTGTACCTGTGCACAAGGATGGACATCAACTGTTAGACAAGAATGTGAGTGAGAAGTCATGACATCTGAAGGGAAGACAGAAAAGACCATGTGATGTATTAAGGATGCTTGGGAAGAGAGATGTCAGCAAAGGTTTGCACAAGAAAAGTCCTATGGCTTAATATGTCCAGGACACTCTAGCTGCTCTGAGGACAACTGAAGCTGAGAAGAGGACAGAAAGGGCTGCCACCTCACTCATACCACAGTGACTCAGAAAAGGGACAGGCCGTGAGGGATGAGACAAGTGGACTCTGACATACTATGGAACAGCTAAGGTGACAGCTTGGGGTGACAATTTACTTAAGTTGTAGTCATAAAGTAAATAAACTCAGAATAAGTTTTGGAAATAGAACTTAAAACATCCGCAAGTAAAATCTAAGGAGGATACGGTGAGAGAAGTAAATTTGGGAATTTTTAATCTAAGCAGTCAATTAGATGCTTAGATAGAAAAATAGGATGTTTCAACCGAACTAAAATTGTGCTATCCATTAGGCATTCATAGAAAACAACAGACAAGTGCTTAGTAACAGGAGCTAGGATCCCAGCTCCAAGGGCAAGGATTCCAGGTGTGCTCTATGACACCAGCTGTTTTCATACTTAACCACTTTTACTAAATTTTGCTACAGAAAGGGAATTATTTCCACGTGAGTAATTTGTAAAACTTTTTTGGACAATACTCTCTGATAAGCTGAAAAAATACTACAATCTCAAAAGCAAGCAAATTGAGAATATTTTTTTAGATATGCTTTCAAAAATTACTAATTTTGAAGGCTATATTGCTGTAAATATTTTATTGTAGTTGTACAATTTTTCCATTTGAGCCTGAGGTAGTATCTATGAAGTACAATCTTGCCATTAATATTTGAATGCATTCTTTTTCACCCTTATAACAAATAAAAATGAAAAAACAATTCCACAAGAAAATATTTTTTAAAAGTTCAGTATTTTTACCAAAGTATGTCAGTTATGTATTAAATTTAATTAAACACTGAGTATGATTATGTCCAATGTCCAACAAGGAAAAGTATATTCTAGCTAAGTGGCAATTATAAGTCATATGAATGATAAAAACAAATAATGAAAGACCCTAAAGCATTTCTACTAAGGTTAGCATAAAATGAAATGTAAGTTCAAACAGTCATCAGGTTGAAGATTAGACTTTGAAGAGGGCTGTATTTACCCAGAGTCTTGCAGGCAAACAGAGCCATGGCACTCTGCAGTCTGTCTGGCCGCAGAGCCTGAACTACAAGAACCTATAAAACAAAATGGAGAATTTTATAAATAGATGTTTCTCAGGATCATTAAATAAACAACAGTCAATGATTACTAATTGATGTTTACAGAAATACACAAGTAACCACTGTTGCATAGTATTTACCAGGCTTGAAACTGTCACAATAGGTATGAACCAAGACTTCCCTTTTGTGTCAAAAATTCCTTAAAGCTGTTATGTAAAGTAAGCAGAGGGTGAGTGAGCTATGTCTTCCAGATCCCATGAAGAACCCAATGGGCTCTGAAGATGGTGGCGTGAACGGTTAGCATCTGGCAGTTGCTTGTTGGACATCTGCATTCTATTTTCTGCTGAGTCCTGTGTGTCTATAATACTGCTTTCATGTGTAAATGTTCATTTTCAGATGGTCTGTTGTTTGGTTTAAACACATCTGCTGAGATAGCACTCACTGCACACACACACACACACACACACACACACACACACACACACACACACAGAAAACCAGAATGAATTAGCTCCCATAATGGACATCTTGGAGAAGAAGGCTATTCCCCAGGGCAACAGTTGCTAGAGCCATTTGCCCAGATCAAATGTACCCACCAAGAGATCTTATCACCTCTTTTGAAATATAATTTTTAAAGTTCCTTTTCCTTCACATTAAATTCTCTCCATAGATACAACTTAGATAAAATAAGTGAATGAAGAATCTATACCATTTATAGTGTAGTTCCTTTTAAAAAGACCTCTTTTCCTATTGAAGGATCCTACTTGGACCAGAGACAGAGGACAAGGGGTACAGGGTAATACCCACATAGAATGCTGCCAGGGCTCTGTCTGGGTAAGGTAGCCATGGCATGTGGATGAAGGTTACACAGTACACTAAAAGCGAAGCTTTTACTTAAACAGCATCTTAAGGACAAGAGAAATTCACAGTGTGATTTTGTTCTGCACTTGGATAACAATACATTTTACCTGCTGAAATAAGGAAACCTTCTTTGCAAGAATTGATGGAAACTCCTGCTCACACATCGAGTGATGATAATAAGTACGCCAAAGTGCCCCGTCTTCAAAGCAGAGTGTCTGGTAGAGACCAGGGAGAGAGATCTAAAACAGAAATTACCACGTTAGGAGCTGCAGCCATGTGACAAGAACTTCAAGAGAAAAGGAAACTGATACAGAGACACTTATTACTTCTCTGCTCTCTGTGATGATGTGTCTCATCCTCCATAGGTCAGTAAGGTGAACTCAACAAGACTAGAGCCAGTAAAGCACTCCTAAGGATTATATCAATCAGTAGTCATAAGAAATACTTTCTATACATTGTACCTAGCTATGTCCACCATCATCAAAACCAGGGGCAAGTCCTAGGGACAGCACAACTGAGCACATGTTAAGTTCCAAGACTATCTCCGGCAACAAGGATGCTCTTTGTAACCAAACTTTGCTATGGGGCTACTGAGGGCCTCAGTTGGTTTCAGTTTCAGCCTTAGGCCCCAAGACTTTCTTTACAAGTTTTATCAAGACACTTCTACAGCAGCTTAGCAAGCATCCCTACCCTTAGTCTCTTATGCAGGCTCTCCCTCTCACTTATGAGCACCGTCACCAAGAATCATGCAAAGTAAGTTGAACCAGAATTCTTTACTTCTTTAGCTGCAATTGGCTCTTGGGGACTTAACATCCAGCAAATCCACTTAGTTTTGCCTTAGGCAATATCACCTCTCAGAAATTTACCCAAATATATCCATTCCCTCTATCTCAATGATCGCTAGTCCCCAACTTCTTCCATGATGCACAATATGATATGAACAGTAACAGGAAGTGTAAATCTGTATAGAAGGATGCTTTCTTTTAAAACAATGGAAGACCTGTTTCTGTAAGCGTAGAAACTTCATGCATAGAATCATGTATCAAGAATGTTAGGGCCGCCCCTGCCTGGTCCTTTGTGCTGGGGCAGACACAGAATCGGTCTGCTCCTGTCCTGTGGAGATACTGAATTCTGAGTCATCCTAGAAGAGTCACTGCACTCAGAGCAGCCGTCCTTTGGGCTGGGGCCAACAAAAAGTCTGTCTGCCCCTGTCCTGTGGAGATACTGAATCCTGAGTCATCGAGGAGCCACTGCACTCAGAGCAGAAGGATTTCCAGATCCAAGAGGTGGCCTGAGTCCCAGGAGTTCTTCCACACAGGAAATTAGGAGCATATGACCACAGAGACATCTGGACAATGAGGAGCTCTGCAACAAGCAAGATAACTGGAAATACAGACTCCAGTCTTACACAGTGAGAGCACGTAACACTAGAGTTAACCAGATGGCGAAAGGCAAGCGCAACAACATAAGCAACAGAAACCAAAGTTTCTTGGCATCATCAGTACCCAGTTCTCCCAATATACCAAGCCCTGAACACCCCATCACACCTGAAAAGCAGGATTCAGAATTAAAATCACTTCTCATGATGATGAT